TTTATCCTTACTGAGAAAAAACATTACTGAAGGAAATAGCAATGGTACAAGTCCCAATAATCCTCAAATTCCTAGTTCGAGTCCACTGGAAACCAAATAGCATATTCGTACATAGGTGAGATCGATGTGTATAATGTGAACTAATGAATGAATTTATATCTAACGTGTATCATAAACTCAGAGTAACGAGCTGTTTCAGGATTGAAATATAAACGTAACATCATCACGCCATCTAAATGTGGAGTACACACGTCATTTTATATTTTAAATTAGTTATCCGTATTAATATAGACAATAATAATCCATATAAATTGTATAATTAATTAACTAAGGCGATAATTATATGTATGGTAAAATCTAGTCAGGTTTAAGTGTCGAGCCATGCTTCGACACGAATAGGCCGGCTTGACCGGAGCGATACCACGGCCTCACAGAAAACCGACGTGAAACAACGCTTGCGTTGTGTTTCGTCGTGTGAGTGAGGTTACCGGAGTTAATTACTTCCCAGTCTCCTTAATCCCTGAATCCCCCACAATCCTCAAAGTCCCAAAAGGCCGGTAACGCCCCTGGTGTTTCAGGTGTCAATGGGCAGCGCCGATTGCTTACCATCAGGTGATCCGTCTGTTCGTTTACCGGCTTATGCCATAAAAAAGTCACTATTTTTTTTCTTTTTTTTCACAATAATTTCAAAGTAAATTTTTAAAAACTTTGACAGAGTAATTATTCTACAAACTGGTTTTTTTGGTTGCAGTCAGTTTGGATTTGAGCTCGGTGCATAAAAAAAAAGTGAGCTCTAGTTTAAATCTACGCAGTATTTAATTACAGCTTCTAATCACTCAAGTTAACAACGACCAATTAAAATAAAAAATCCTCTCGTGGAATTTTGGAAATTTATTTTATTTCCTGATTTAAACTTACATCATAGAAGAAACTCTTGCGCATAGCGTCACGGTACTAGATCCAGTGTTTTATAGCCTTGTCTGAGATAGTGAGTTTATGAATTATAAATAATTTATGAAATTATCATTGTAATAGCCCTCTGTCTATGCCCGAGTCTAATTAAGACTTTTATTGTTTTGTTATCTTGTTTTTTTTAATTGTTGCAACTATACTTACTTTGAGATGCAGACGAGACTATCGTCTTCGTATCTCGGGCCACAGATTTACAGTCTACGAAAAATAAGAACTCAAAAAAGAAGTACTGCCTCGTTGGCCGAGTGGTCGCAAATGCGACTGCCGGGCAAGGGGTCTCGGGTTCGATTCCCGGGTCGGGCAAAGTATTACAGAGTTCTCTTCAAAAATCTTAGTAGTAGCACGAAATCTGGAATTGTGCCCGGTGTATGGCAATAGACTCACCCCCTATTACATGAGACTCATAACATAAATTGTGAAAAGTGGGTGTTCATTGTACAGTGGCATTAAGTGCAGTAATGTGCACCTTTGCCTACCCCTTCGGGGATAAAAGGCGTGATGTTATGTTATGTATGTAAAAAAAGAAAAAGTACTTCTTGAATTCCACGTTTCCATTCCTAACACGATTATTTAAATTTTGACCTACATAACGTACGATGAAACATAATTAAATATAAGCGTTGTTTCACGTCGATTTTCTGTGAGACCGTGATATAACTCCAGTCGAGCCGGCCCATTCGTGATGAAGTACCTATGGCACGTAAAAGAATGCGTATAACGTATTATATGTATGTGACTTATAACAGCAAGTTTATTTAATACTAGCTTCTACCCGTGACTTCCCATAGGATTTTTAGGATCTTTTTCGTCATAAAAACATTCTCCTGACAATAATAAACACAACAAACAAAAAATAAGCCAAATCGGTCAAGCCGTTTTCAAGATATAGCGTTCATATATAGGGTCCATTTTTATATATATATATATATAGATGTACACAGTGTACATGAAAGTATGAACCTAGGTATCTATTTTACAAATCTATTAACTATGTTGGTAAACTTTATACACGAATAGTTTTAAAATAATTAATTTGTTTATACAAATTAATAAAATACTTACTAAACCTAATTCCCTACTCAAAATTATAATGTTTCGGGAGTTTTATTATCCGAGATTATTGGAGACTAAATTTATTTTCAATCATGTGATACCTTCTGCCTACCCTACTTCAAATCTCTGTGCACGCTTCTGTCAGTACACTGTACATGTGTACACCTCTGTCTACCCCTTATTGAGTGATTACATGACATTACACGAAAGCCTTCATATTTTCATAATATTTTTATAAAGTATACCTAATAAATTACGATTTATTTGGCACATATTTGTTTCAATGCAAATGATTTATTATTTGTGTGTTATATAAGGTTTATTTTGCAACTACATTATCTATTCCTTCTATATTTAGCCATATATTTTATGCCACCCAGTTAAATATCTAGGTAAATTGCGAATAAGTTACGTAACAACTTATAAATAAAGTTGTTTTCGTGTTGCATCTGACTGCATCTCCATATATCAATGCACTTAATGTCATGATTTGTGTTAGATCATTTTAAAAATTATAACATAGAGATTCTGGGTACAATTATAGCATAAAACAACAAAAAAAACGAAAACACTTTCGCATTTATGATTATTAACCCATGAATCCCCAAGCAGTCACCGGTGACCGCTCTCTACTAACTACCTACATTATAGACCTTATTTCCAATGTTTAGAGACTACTTTTGTTAGAACAAATTTAGGGGATGATTTTCAACGGGTTAAGGATGATTGCGCGGTTGGTGCACTGGCTGGGCAATAGGCTGCTGCACAACTGGTCGTGGGTTCGATTCTCGCACGGAACTCTTTGTGTAATCCACAAACTGTTGTTTCGGATCTGAGTGCGATTCGCATGACGGACATTTATAAACGCACCTACGATACAGAACAAAACTAGAGTGTCGTTTAAATAAAAAAAAATAGTTCATAACAATACGGACGCAAAGTCTTTATTAAATAGGATAGATTAAATAGGTTGTAATAGCTGTACTTCTGTTTACCCTTTAGGAAACCATGTTGTAATTCTATTTTCTTCTTCTTCTATGTCATCGGATTTAAGTGACTTTCATTCTTTTTAAACTGTCAAACACCGCGAGGACACCGGTGACCGCGATCTATTGTTCTTTAATTGTGTCTATAATGACGGTACTCAACTAGTTAAAAACCTTACCGTCGCAGCAGAGTGAAGTAAATTTGACACCGGTCCAGCCCATTCCGCAGGTATCGCAAGAGGCGACGAATGGATCACATTTTCGACAGAAGACCTTTTAAAACTGCGAGTCTAGCATGGAGTTTATGGAACATCTTACACGAACATAAGTATACCTAGAGGAGGCCCTTCACCAGCAATGACTGTCTTGGATTGTTGTTCATGACGATGATATTCACTCAAATTCTGTTGCCCACTCCCATAAGTAACGTGACCATTTATGTTTTTACTCAAAACAGGGACATTTGTTCGTTTATATTCAGTCAGGCATCTGATAGCTATATCCTATTATACACCATGTAAACACACACGTTACTAATACTAACTGCGAACTAATGTAGGTACTCACAAGGATATTGAGATTAAAGTATTTGGGTACTCAATGCTTTTTGAACTTTACTTCGTCAAAAATTAGAGGTCTGTATGACATTATCTCGCTCTCGCACCACTCGAGCCGTCCAAACGTCACGGCTCAACGATTCAAATTTTTGCTCAGTTTCCGAAAACAGGACAATTTAGCGTCCCAGAGTTCATTTCGGGAGCAGCGGGACTCGTGTTTATAAAAAAGGACAGGCCCGTTCAAAACGGGACGTTATCTATAAGTCACAGTAATAATACTAATAATTTAGGTATCAACCGACCACCATAACTCAGAACTGTCATCGCGCCTATCGCCTTAACGAAGCTCATGGGACAGCAACTATCAATTTTCTCAATTTAGAGAAAGTAAGTACTATTTTCCTAACGATCCAGGAACTCAATAATTCCTACTTACCACGGTGGCAATATACATAACATAACTAAATGAGGTAGAATGACACAGCTAATATATAATTTAAAAAAAGAAATGAAACATAAAACACAAAAGTTTGTAGTCAACGATCATGTAATAAAAAAAAAACATTCGCTCACAGCTTATTATATTCGCAGTTGCATAAATCAACATGAAATATAAATAAAACAATACAATAGGTACGTAAAAATCCTTACTATGTAATTTTACGACTATGTTAATTTCACCCTTACATTTACTATGCATTTATTTACTAACACAAAACACATAATTAGTAATACGGTAGGTAGGGTTAAGATACATAATTTTAATTGCATTAAACAAGGTAATAAAATTAGGTACATAAAAGTAAAGAATAAGATACATAACTATAATAATCATCTCATCGACAAAAATAGGAATATAAACAACGATGGTTTTAGACAAACAATTGATTATGAATTACTTACGTTCCCTAATCGATTGAACCAAACTTAGGTAACACACAATGTGATAAGTACTGTTTAAATATCGAAAACATCTTAACTATGCTTAACAGTCTATTGAACACGATTTATTTTTTCTAAGTATCTACCAAGTAAAATATGTCTCTAAGAGCACCGGCGTGTATTTACCGAGTTGTTGGTATTCGACATCGATACAAAAATAAACCTAAAAAGTTATTAAGAATCAACAAGTTATCGACACGTTTGGTTCGAACTCTAAACGACAACTTTGAATGGAAAATCTTCAAAGAAAAACACGCTTATCACACAGTTAACCTCACTTTGTCACATCAAAAAACACAGACTAAAGCATCAAGTGTCCGTTCTCGATGCCCACCCCACCTGTGGCTACATCACTCGATTGTAAAGTGGCCTTTCTACGAGCAAGCTCCACGAATGTGCTACCTTTCTAAATTCGCCGGGTAAAACGGGCTAGTAGGGATGGACTAAGGGGCAAGATTATGCAATTCTTGGACTTGCAAGCCAACCAGTATATAAGCTTGTGGTGCGCTCAGAGGAGTAGAAAGTAAGCCAGTCTTGACAGGCAAAGTGTAATACGGAATCAGTCCAGCTAACCAAGCAAGATGTACGCGAAACTCGCTGTGAGTTCATAAAAAATATAATTTAATAATCATTATTAAAAAAAAAAAACATAAATCGAGATTATTCCGACTAAGTTATTTTTAAACGCGGTGTTTTGTGATCAAAGTGTTTTTTTAGTTCGTGTGAAAATTTTTAAAGAATTTTTTTTTATTAAAAGCACATTTTAATTATGTAGATTCAGTGTTTCTGTAGTTAATTAATATAGTACATTTTGTGCACTGGATCTTTGAGTTTGTAAAGCTTTGTTTCACTGCGCTTTGTAAATTCATATTTTCCTGCGCCGCTATAATGTCATTTCTAACTTATGGAAAATTATTTTGTTTGACAGCTTATCTCCCTCCTGGTAGCCGTCGTCGTTGCTTCTCCAACCCCCGGCGGTGGCGGACAGTGAGTACATTATACAAAATTAATTTCTTAGTCACTTTGTAGTGCAGGGTTAAAAGACTTCACTATTATGCTAAAAGCAGACGATATTATCGTGATGTTTCTATTCAAATACAGAGACATATTTTATGGTTGAAAAACAATTGCTTTTAAAAGAACATGCTGTTTGTTCTACTACTAAAAACTCATCTCATTCATTGTTACACAAAAAAAGTAAAAAAGGACCGCAAATTACTATTACTATCATTGTCTATTATTCGTTAAACAAAATAAAAAATACTAAATTGCAAGCAATTTTTGTACAATAAAACATGATGCAACGAAATTCAAGTTCAAAGACAAATGTAATAAAAAGATAGAAAAATAAATTGGTCGTTCGTTTATTAAAGAAAAAAAAATCGTTCATTCATCGTTCGAATTTAGAATCAGTTCGGCCATTGTTATTAGTTGTGTAATGTTCAAGGTTGTGACGTAATATGACGAGACTTTTTTCTTTTTTATTACACTTATATCGTATTAGTGAATGTAGATGAGAATCTCAGCATCTCAGCGTACCGCTAGATAGAGAAAAAAAAGTAACCGAACTTATTTATGGGCGTAAATATTAGTGAACCTTGTTTTTTCGGCAGATGTTATTTTAGTTTTTTTTTATTCTGATGAACTGGACTCAATTTGAAATTGGGACATGGAGTAGATTTGTTCCCTATAACATTGAAATAAATGACATAATATAACAATGTAGGTGTACCGTGCTCCTCTGATTACTTAAAGAAGGATATCGGCAGGTCCAATCATTAATCAGATTGCGTAGCTTGGAAATTAGTCATGCTGCATTTGACGTAATTAACCTAGTTGGGAAAACGCCAAGAGAAAGAGTTATTCAATTCAATTCGTAATTTCTTTTATACGTACGAACATACACATGTACCTATAATATTTCAAAACTATACATTATCTGACTGTATCATCTGTTGGGCTAAGGATCCCTTCTACTTAGGGGAGTTAATTAATCTATACATTTGGCGGACGGGTTAGAAATCGCAGTTTAAAATGATCCAGTAAAATAAAAAAGGAGATGAAAGCAGAGAGAACTATAGGGTAGTGGTACAGTTAGAGTTAAGCACATACCTAGTCTTAATTCGCGATTAATAGCGACGGCCACGGGACGAGTAGGACAGAGGCGACAAATGTATTAGTTAGTACCTGGTTCATTATATTAAGTACTTTCTCATCACATGCTAATTGCTACCACATACCTTGGACCATCAACCTTGCCTCCATCTTTGTCGACATCTAATGTCAGAACGTAAAAATGATACTCGTGCTAAAGATTACAATTACTTTCAAAGAACATAGTAAAAGGTAGATAAATAATTCTCAGAATAACTAATTTGTTTCTAATGGGAAATATTCAACATAAAAATATTTTTTACAATACGTAATTCTTACGCAGAATTCTCCCCTCGATTGAAAATATCAACAATACACGTCTTGTCATGTGAAAATATTTTTCGTTATCACAATAAAACGGTGTTTTCTCTGCACACTTTGTTACTTATTTATAGATTCGCTATACAAAAGTTTTGTTTGATTCAAGGAAATGTAAGCTTTGTTACAGAAATAGAAGCTTAAGAATTATTTGTAAGGTGTTTTAAATTCTTTATAAGTTACTTAAAGTTCACATAAAATATTTGAGCATTGTCATTGTCAGACATACTGTGAACCATTGGACACGACAGATACGTATTAAACAAAAGAAAATGACATCCATGTAGCGTTGAAAATACCTCTAGATCTATGTTGGGTCTAGTTTAGACGCCATCTTCTAAGATACCCAAGTATCTAAAATAATTTAATGGAATGGAATGGAATGGACATGGAATCATCTCATCATCTCTACTACTGTCATTACCTTATTATGTAGTTTAGCAAAGTCAAGCAACCTGAACAAGTTTCATTCAGTGAGCACGTGTCTTGAAATTGCTTCGTCTTGCTCTAAAATATTTTACATTCATTGACCGAGCAGTTGGTGCAGTGGCCGTGTCGCGAGTCGATTCCCATATGGACTATTGTGTGTGCCTAGAAATTGTTATGATAACACACAAAGTACTACAGTATTTTTTAGTTTGTTATATGTCTTGGCAATCATTGTGGTATTGAATAACTACATTTCTTTATCTATCTCTATGTACAAAATCATGTGACCTAGGCTCTAAAGTAAGTCGTCATAGTCCAAGTACGAGTTATTGAACCGAGTTATAGTCTAGTCTATCATTTGTGGATAATGTAATTCGATGACGTAATCAAGGAATCAACACATCTGATAAATAATCTCATTACATACTCTTACGTCACTCTCTTGTAATCCGAGAGTAATTAGTGAAGCTTACAGTTGCCGTTGGTGAGCGGTACCTATGTGTGTCCGACAAATATTTTATTATGGTTTAAATAGCCTAGTAAAATAAAACTGTCTTCAATATTCTTTTTTTAATCGGTTTATAAACTTAATGTACTATAACCCGCTCTTAAGTGTAATAAATATACCCGAGTGTTCTGCGCGCCTCAAAGAGCCATCAGACCACCACAGATGGGACCCAATAGGGCTGATGCCGATTCGGAGTCGAAGAACTTAACGGGTTACCGGGGCTCCGGCTCGACGTGCAGGAGAAGGAACTGGGTGGTTTTTAGTTAGTAAGAGTCTGACACTCCCTCCCGCCTCATCCAGGCGGGAGCAGTCATTCGATGATTTTCCCCCCTTATAAAAAAAGTGTAAAAAACATTTCTATGAAAACCATTTCAAAATCGATTTAGCCAATCGCGAGGTATGCGCGGACTTCCATCAACGAACAGATGGACATTTACTAAGTTTCGGAGGAATTACCTTCTTACGCTTAGTGCTTCACTTCAGAAGTCACAATATAAATAATTTATTTAATTAGACCAATATGACATAGGCATAATTATTTGAACGTCAAAATATTTGATTCAGCTTCTTACACCTAGCGCAGTGGTTACGACAGTATGCTGTCGGTCAAATATAAAGTAATATTCATTTATGTCCGTTTGTAAATACTTGAACTGGATATGAAGTGTCCATGTAACAGTATATAATCCTGACTGCATTTCTAGTGTCTGCGTTCGAGGCTCGGGTCAGACGATCTAATGATTTCCGGTTGGATAGAAATAGAATTTGATGACCTGGTTATGTAAAGGTCAAGATTATAAATAGATATAAAAAGACTCATGGTTTTGTTCGCTTGTCTGTGATTGAGTTAGAACTATAGACAGCCAGCTAATAATAAGTTAGACTTTTGTATATTACCTATATCAACTCATCGAATCAACAAGTCCAATTAATGATAAAGAAGAAATAATACCTGAGTTCACGGTATCGATCGCCGGGTCATTCGAAACTTTATTAACAGTTATATTTTCGTTTTTCAAAATCCATATAATTAGCTAAAGTCTAAACATAAGAATAAAGTTAGTTAGGAACATGAAGGAAAGACTGACTAAGTCTTTGGTGCAAACATAAGTATACATAAAAAGAAAACTCATTCATCAAAACAGCAAAGCTTTCATATATCCGTGTTCCATAAATATCACCTTATAGTTCCGTGCGGAAATATTGCTTGTGCATGAATAATAACGGAGTAACAAGTCTAACACTAAGCTAGATATCTGGACCATATAATTCAATATACTATGTACCTAGTCTTCAAGAGCCCGTGGCAGTTTGCTTCTGGACCGTGACTCTCCTCTCAATAAGAGAGTTTGCTATATCTACCTGGCGGGTTGGAGATAACAGACCAAAAAGTTCAGGTTTATCAAGGAGCCATGTTATCTGGACTCTGTCACATATATAGTCCCTTGATGTAGTCTTCTAACATCCTTGGGTAGGCCCATCTGACTTCCATAAGTAATAATGGTGAATATAATTACGTATGTCACTTTTTGTTATACGCTTTGTATAATTCTTTCGTTATTCTACTTTCATCCATCCTTTCTACATGTCCAAACCAACGTAACATTCCCTTTTCAATTCCATGTCACTACATCATCTTTCCATCCACACCTTTCTCTAGGAACATTATTATTCACTTATAAAGTCGTTCACAAAAGTTTCATGTTTATAAAATAATATTTACATTTCTCTTCAATTAAAGGAAACCTCAAAAACTCTGAACCGAGAATTTCGAACGTAAATCCTTTTGTCTTCACAACAAAATGGCTACATACACTGATATACAACTGAATGTCATGTAACTAGAAGGTGCAATGTTATTTATTTCTATCATTTTATAGACTGGTTAGTTCAGTGCCGTTATGTAAGTTGCTTCAAGACTTTGGCCGAAGCCTTTCTCATCGTTTCTTATACTTAATAATAGTTATTGGATATAAAACTTACTTTTGCCAGTGACTTTGTACGTTTAGAAACGATAGAGACGAGACGTTCATACTTGTTCTTAGCGTTTTTGGAGGAATTTCTTTCTTAGAGCTATCGAAATACATGTCAATTTTCAATACTGCATTATCTATGTTTGTGTATTGGCCATTATACTAGAAGTTACTATAATAACGAAGTCTATGCACAAGAGGTCAAAATACATTACAGATCTAGAAAGTATAAATCCTTGTTTACAGTACTTGTAATAAATAATGAAAAGCCATTATCCACAGAATCAATCCGCTCCCCACATTGGTACTTACATTACATGGTACCTCGAAATTAAAACCTCAATAATACTTTTGAAACCAAAATCCTACCGAGTAATCAGATTAAAATTTTAACAAAAGTGCACGCAATATTTTTAATTATAGGCAGCAGCTGAAAATCTGCTTGTGAGCTTATGTTCTATACGATTAATATTTCCCTTTGAGATTACTCTTCATACAATACTGGAGGAAAGATTTGATTGTCTGTTTATCTGTTTTTTCACATAGTTTCTGGTCACAGGGCTGGAACATGTTTTCGCCATTGGAAAGCTTACAACATAAGCATTCTTTTCGTCCCAATAGTCGTACATGTTTCATTGTAACTATTTGAGAAAAAATCCCTAAATTAACAATAGGTGAAGCCACGTCAAGACAGCTAGTGTATGGTTAAATAAACCCTGCAATATAAGATACCTAGCCGTCTGCGCCCGTCTTTTGTTCGTGCACAAAGAGGCGTGGAATGCAAAGGGTATATTCTTCCAGTTATTTTAATTAAATTCCGTGCTAGGGTTTATTTATTTACAGCTGTTTTGAATAGCACCTCATATTTGTGTTCTTTAAGTTCTTTGAGTCTGCCTGTGAATTTAATTTGTTTTTATTGACACACAATTGTGAACCTTATTTCCTTGCAATTTTGATTGCTACGGAGTGTGCTTGGAGATTTTTCATTACAGTAGCTACGGAGCACATTTAAATAACTTACAAATTGCATATTATGTTTAAATTTTTTTCATATCAGATAGTTTGAGAAATGTGTCATTATTTAAAAATGACGCTCCAGTTTGATAGCGTTTATTACAGTTCTGTCAATGGTTTTTTTTAATGGGGGAAAATCATCGAATTACTGCTCCCGCCTGGGTGAGGCGGGAGGGAGTGTCAGACTCTTACTGCTAAAAGCCACCCCGTTCCTTCTCCTGCACGTCGAGCCGGAGCCCCGGTTACCCGTTAGGTTCTCCACGACAGCTTTGTCAATGATACCAGCACTATTGACAACCAATATTACAATATAAGAAGATAGTAACGAAATGTAACATTTCAATACTATTTCTGTAGATCAGATTTGCACCGTTTTCATTTGAAATTCAATTAGTGGAACCCAATTTGTTTTCAATTAGAACTTGTAAATAAATAGGTCCTTCTGTGTAATACTACAGCCGGTAATGCAGAATACGTATTTTGTTACCAGCGACATAGTTCCTAGAACTAGAGCGTGGTTCATTTGATAGCGATTAACGATAAGCGAAATAAGAAACAACTAGAATCAAATAACAGTCTGCAAATTTTATGTCTATTGTTTTGAAATTATGAATTTGTTGTATACGTAATTATAAGTTTGCATACATAGAAGAGAAAATAAGAATTAAATGGACTAGTACATTTCTAGTAAATAAACATGATAGTAGTATTTTTATTTGGTACAATTGTTGATATCACTAAAATAACCGAAATCACAATTTGCAATAAAACATGTCACAATGCATAATGTTTAGTGCACAGAACATATCTCCTTTATATGTTCTGTGGTTTAGTGTGTAATTTATAACAAAAGTAAGGTCAGAAACATCGTGATAATTTATGTTACGACCACAATGAATGAAGTAAGTCAAGCGGTATGTTTTCATTGAACTTGAGTCAGTTAACTTAATCCGTCACATTTCGTTTAGATACAAACACATTTGCTAAATTCTGACACAATAGATATCTATCTGGATAAAAAAATACAACTTGTTTTGTTTAGTTCTTCATTTTATTTGAATTCAGAAAATACATTATCTGGCTAGTTTAGACGAAATTTTTAATGGCCATAACCTGACAAAATTCCCCTGATAAATGAAGCTTGAATGATTAGAAAAGAAACGTTCACGCTAGCACTGATGCCCCACCTCAACGTGCACCCTATTTAATTGAGGACGAAATGCAAGATGGCTTGCGGCCGTCAATATTAGTTACAGACGGTTGATAGTCTTTGAGAATTCAATTAAAAACTAGAAGCTTCAGGACACGTTTTGATATTTCCCATTAGCTTTTTAAAAACTGAACTGAATTAGTTCAGTTTTTAGTTTAGGACATGGACAGTGTGTAAACGCTAGATTTACAGAACACAACTTATATTATAAAACCTCTAAATTGTTATGTCTAATAGACAATAAATAAAAGAACATACTTCTTTTTTGGAGAAAAACATCAAATGACATTCTGTCTTGATTGGGGCGAAAGGGAGTGTCAGACTCTTATTAACTAAAACCACCCCGTACTTGAACCTGTATAGAGCCGGAGCCCCGGTAACCCGGAAGGTTGACCCAAGGTAGCCCCGGCAAAGAAACATAACTACTATTGCAATAATTTTAGGATTAGCTAGAATTATGTACTTTATTACTAGACATTTCGCATTTATTTACGATCTAGTTTGACAAGAGCTTGTGTAAATATTACGATAGACAACTTTCGTTGTAAAATATTATACACTTTACGAAGTTACTACACATTCCTAGTTATATAGCTTTCGTAATTTTAATATTATCCATTTGTTAGTTAGCTTTATTGCCTAGTAACCTAGATTATAATCGTATTACTAAACAATGTCTAGTAGATTCTTTGGTAAATGTTGATGGAAGATAATTCTGGACTGCCTCGTTGGCCGAGTGGTCGCAAGTGCGACTGCCGGAGTCTGGAACTGTGCCCGGTATATGGCAATAGGCTCACCCCCTATTACATGGGACTCATAACATTAATCGTGAAAAGTGGGTGTTACATTACAGTGGCATTAAATGCCGTAATGTGCACCTCTGCCTACCCTTTCGGGGATAAAAGGCGTGATGTTATGTTATGTGTTATAATTCTGGATTATTTGACATTGTTTTTATGACAGTATCTTATATTAATTAAACATTAACTTCTCAAATTCGTCATCGTCATCGATAGCTCGTGACAGTCCTCTGATGGGACTAAGGACCTCCTTTACATGATAAAAACCTTTGTCCTAGCCATAATCTCTATGCTTGGTAGCCATGATATAAGTTTAAAAGGGTTTTATGTGATCAAAGACCGCTACTGTTCGGTTATTGTCGCATGAGTAATTTCTTAGTGGGCTCTTAACATCTCAAGGTATAAGTTGCATGGAGTAATCATAGTCTTCAAGTATCTTTTCAATTTCCGACAATGTTGTGGACATCATTTTTGGTTGTCTATTGCGAACTAAATAGTCACTTTTGTTATTGTATCTATAATAATTAAAGTCATTATACATTATTGTTTGCGTACAAATTAGAGGTGTTACTCCATTGTAGCGGACCGAGATGTAATTGTTATGTATATTACGCCACGCACTGTTGATACTACTCTAATAACTCATTTCGTTTTGTTTTGTTTCGAATCAAGATATGAAACGAACGCTATTGTTATTGTTATTCGTACTTTGGAGATTTCTGATGTTTTGAGCTAATTGTGAGAGTTAAGTATAGAATATAGAGTACAAGTTCCTTATAATCAGAATTCCAAGATTTCTCGATAAGAATCCGTGTTCAAGAGCGTGTGTTTGAACTCCGAACATATCCGTTGAATACCAGGTGTATCTTGATTATATAATAGGAACCTACGTGGAACTTTCTAGGTAACAAAAAACCGTAAAGTGCCCAGTACGATGTAATGTTTTATTAATGAACAAAATTACAAAACAACACATAACAATTAAGAATAACCTGCTTCACAGCCCCGAGATAGCTTACTTAAGTCACCTTGCGATTTGTTCGCGTAATAAACCCAGATGCACATTTACGTCACATGAGCAAAGTCGTCGCAGTCCAATTACTGGTTGCATCACAAATTGTGCGTTTCTCTCGCATTATCCACTTTGCTAGTAAGCATGTATAGGGAAAGTGCGCGATTTGTAAGCACCGATGACCAGACATCGCGCGTGCGATTTGTTAATCTGCCGCGACCTGTCGCATCATGAATTAATTTCGGTGTTGCAACGACTTTTTTCGTGTGAATTTTATGCCGCTCGTGTGTCGTCGTCTTTACTTGTATGGAATTAGATTCCGGTGTTTACTTTGTCTTTTGACATTGTTTTTTATGGATTTAGCACAGCACGTTCTTTTTTTACTTGCATACAATACTAGTAGGTTACTGTAGAACATTTCTTTTAAATTTCCATTATAATTTTGCTACCTTCTTTTTTATGTTTTCCTAGTTGGAAGTTAGACTAATTCTGTATAAATAAAGTGCGCTAACATATTTTACCTTCCCAATAGTAGGGGTATTAATGAGCCTATGGTAGGTTCAAGTAATAACTAACCCTACCTCATTACCACAGGGTTAGGTATCCCATCGTAATATCAGAACTTAATTAATCAGATAATCATACTTGAATTCTAATTAGGTACACCCCACATTACTGAGTGCCTATGAGTTAGAAAATAATTAGACATGGGAAACCGATTCCTAGTTATTAGCAAAGGGCTGTTGTTACGGGTGTAATGCATAAGCCAACTACACAACGGTACTATTTGTTTTACCATTTGCGACTTTAAGGCCGTGGTAATAAGAATTATTGGATATTTAAACATTGCTTTAGACATTTTTCTTTTGCCACTCTTTATTAATTACTGATTCTTCTCGAAACACGTAAAGGAAATATTGAGTAAGACACTTATATTCAATGAACCACTTACCTTATCCGAAATGGGAATAAAATCGATGTCTCCTTTGCTAGTATCTTCGTATCGTGAGTTCTTTTGCAACCACGTAGACAATGTCACATCTTGTTTCTTTATCACCAATATTAACGCGAAAATGTCCGATTCCAGCCACAAACACGTGACCATCCACGTGCCATACAAGGTGCACACCATCCATCACCACCACGTCTCAAAAGTGCACGTTCCCGTGCATGTCCCGGTCGTGAAAGAAGTCCCGGTGATTAAGGAGGTGCCCATCATCCAGCACGTCCCTGTGCCGGTGTACAAGCATGTACCTGTCCCTGTGGTGAAACACGTTGAGGTTGAGAAGAAGGTGTACCTACCAGTGCATGAAGAGCATCATGGATGGGAGGGCGAGTCGTTGTCGCACGGCTGGAACTGATGGACTATACTTTTTTTTAGTTTAAGGTTTGTTGTCTGTTTTTAACTCTTTACTAATTATTACAGTCTATTAAATGAAATATTTTTTTTCTTGGAACTAGATTAAAATAAGGTGCGTATAGGTACAGTATGTTTAACTACGGTACTTGCATTGGGCTCTTGATTTTGGATATATAAAATTACAAATTATTTTGGATATTTTGTAATAGATATCTAGACGTAGACTCCAAAAGCCTTAGTTATAGCATAAGTTACCTTAACAATCATACCATAGAGTTCGAAATGGTTTTTACACAGTTCACATCTTGAGTCAGCATTTTATACTACAGCTTTTATGTCAATGGATTTTTACATTAAAGTTGTTAAAGATCAAAGATACCCAGTTATTATTCCAGTGTCTTTAAGGATTACAATCGTCTGTAAACATAATATTAATTTAGTCCTTTTGTTCTCAGGATTCTTAGGTTAAGAAACCACACATCGGCCGCCAAGAATACGAAGTCACACGAAATCATCCCGAACTTTTCCGAAGTCATTCCGAAGTTTCCCGAACCCAATTTAGAGGATATGGAATTTATGCTTAGTATGCATTATGTTATGTGACGTCATTTTACATTGAAGGACAAAGTAAAAAAGATTGTTTTAAAATCGTAATATCTAAGGGATTGTTTTAGAATCTAAAAATATTGTTATATATCTATCCTTCAGGACCTGGTAACGGCTCTTAAAAAGTTATGATCAGCTTTCTAAGGGCTACTACTAGACGTAGAAAATATTACAAAAAGTCTCGGATCAACGTCACTATAACTAAGTGTATGCTGAATGTATTTTCTCTAGGCCAGTTTTAAAGAACTTTGTAACTGTTTTGTCAATATCATTCCAATTACTAATTCAGTGTGAATGAAAGAGACAAAACATGAGACCGATTAAAAATTTTTGATTGCTTTAAAAAAATACCGTTTCCTATTTCTATTCTTGTTTTAAATGTAAATTATTGTACATACATAATTGTTAAAAAAGTATTACAAATAGACTAAGAAAATCTCAAACAAAATTGTGTCAAACAAACAAACAGAGCCTGTGTTTTATATAGTTACCATAGATGTTAACACTTTTTATTATGTAAGAACCAAAGAAAATAAAAAAGATGGGTTTTAGTTTTTTTTACGAAAATATGAATTTTCATTTCACCACCCTGTGTAATCATACCCTAAATATGCAAAGCTACTCCCTTTGCTAAGCTCCTATTGGTTATGACCAATGCTATGCCAAGCTATGGCATGATTATCTACGTTCCTGCCTTCATTAATGGACTATCCAACACAAAACAAGCACTTCTGACCAGCAGTTCTGGAGACTAGCACGTGCAAATAAATGGACTCCTCAATATTATTGATAGTACTTACCTACCTCTCGGTAGTAGTATGGATTTTGTAGCCCGGTATATTGCAATAGACTCGCCCCCTATTACATGGGACTCATAACATAAATAGTGAAAAGTGGACGTTACATTGTACAGTGGTATTAAGTGCCGTAATGTGCACTTCTGTCGTTATGTTATGTGTTACTAAGATACGTATTGAAAAAAATCGTACCACGAAAAAAAACATCAATAAATAAATACTGAACTATATTCAATTAATAAAATACAAACAAAATTAAAGTTTAGTAAATATAACGATAAAAAAGCAAGGGTATATTATACATATATTTTCATCTCAACGTACAAAATATATCTCAGTAGGTTTAACCAGAAGGTTTATATAATCAAAAAGTTAGGACATGTAAAGTTTTGTTATATAATAAACTTACTAGCAAACAAACTTACGTGTAATAAAAAACTAAATATAAGTAGGTAACATACTCTTCACAGCACACATCTTAGAGACACACTCACACACTCAAGAGAATCGAAGACCGTACAAGAGAAACTTACACCCCAAAAATTCAGGTTACGACAAACACACGACTCTCAATTAGAGAGTTATTGATTTTAGCTCTCTGAAAGTATAACAAATTATTTCGTACGATGTGAAAGCAAATACACTGGTCATTTGGGCTTTGTAAACGGTTACTGTCCACCCCCTAAACAGTCCTCTAAACCCTTCTCTTTTATAAGCATGTATGAGACACTTATATAATCTTTTGCATTTGATTAACTGCTGAGCTTGAGTTGGCGTTTTGTATTTTTGATTGTGCTTGTGAGACTGAAACAATAATCAGGAATTAAAATACCATTCAACTATATTACTTATAGGGCGTCGTATCGTGATGGCTCGGAGGTCTAAGACGCCCGCTTCTCATGCATGAAGGTTCGAAACCTACCTCGCAAGTACCAATGTGACTTTTTCGAAGTAATATGTACTTTCTAAGATTATTTAGACACCTGAGTGAGGAAACCTGGGCTTATCTATACTTATATAAATGTGTAGAGAGGTCAATTCTGTACATAAAATATTTAAAAAAAATAACTATCAAGGGGTGGTTAGGGATCGCTACTGATGCCAAAAATGCAATCAGTAAAATTTTTGTCTGTCTGTCTGTCTGTCTGTATGTTCGTTATGGAAACAAAAACTACTCGACGGATTTTAACGAAATTTAGCACAATTATTCTTCATACTCTTGGGCAGGTTATAGTATACTTTTCATTACGCTACGATCAATAGGAGCAGAGCAGTGAAGGGAAATATTGGGAAAACGGGAGAAGTTACTCCATTTTTTAAGCTTCCGTCGCGTGTGCAAGCTTAATGTTTGTTACTCAGTCATATTAAAACTACTGAAGGGACCGGTATGAAATTCGGAACAGAGGATGAATATGGTGTGAAGTAATACATTGGCATTTTCCCCCTGGGATCGCAGGCGAAGCCGCTGGCAGAAGCTAGTAATTTCTAATTATAAGTTTATGATCGCCAACCCGTATTGAGCAAGCGTGGTGATTAATGCTCAAACCTTCTCCATTTGACAAGAGGCCTTTGGTCAGCAGTGGCCACTTTGTTATGATAAAGATGATGATGACTTATAGCACTTCAAAATCACATCAGTAGCAAGATGGACGCCACTGAATATAGGCTTTCTCCAATGGCTTCCAGATCAATTTGAAGCGACCTGCGTACTGGATACAGTACAGACATCATAATCAAGTTTTCCACCGACAAACAGCCATTTCCTCGCATTACTAGAAACTATTACATGCTTTTTTACTCAATCAGGAACTAATGATGTAACTCATATACCCAGATGTAATACCGTACCGATAGTCACACAAACATTATGTTTAGTTTGCGAAACTGACGGACATCGGAACTTCCTCACCATGTTTACTGTTGGCTGTCGAATGACAGTTATGATAACTATACTGTAGTTAACAGGTTAAAATACTGTTTAGAGTTAACATCGTTATCACACCACCGTTTGAACATTAATGTTTATATAAATAATTCTTCTGTAAGTGTGTATGTCACTGAACTCCTCTCAAACGACTGGACCAATTTTTATTGAAATTTTTTGTGTGTGTTTAAGGGGATCTGGGAATGGTTTCGATTCACAAATCACCCCGGCAGATGGCGCTGCAGTCGATGTTTAGGTTATTTATCCTAAACAGCTGAACTAATTTGAATGAATTTTTGTTTATACATTCAAAGGATAAGGATTCCACCTTTTTTTATATTTGATGGGGCGACGTTTGACCACTATCTCGCCTGGTGGTAAGCGCTGATGCGGTCTACGATGGAGCACATATATCGTCCCATAAGCAACCTATTCACTCGGGCCTTGAAGCTTCCACAGATTTTGGCAAAGAATTCCACTCTTTAGCAGTACGCACAAGGAAGCTTGAAGCGAAGCGCTTCGTGCGTGTGTGTGGAACATCTACCATGAATCGGTGACGCTTCGCCAATTGTCTTGTGGTACGATGATGGAAAGGACTAGGGAGAATCAAGTTATATCAAGGTAGAAAACCGAAAGGCTTGCAACCTTAAGCCTGTGTTCGAGGCTTTGAAGTCGGGCCTCCACAAGCGCATCATCGTCAATGAGCCTCTTGGCACGTTTCTCAATGTGCTCTAACCGAGCCGTCCCAAAGATGAGAACAGTACCTCCATACAGGATCGAACCTGTGCTTGGTATAGGCTCAGCAATTGTTTCGGCGTGAAGTACCGCCTCACCCTCCATAGGATGCCCAACTTCCTACCAGCCAGTTACGCTTTCTTTGCGGTTGCGCCATCTATCCATCTTATATTATTGAGTGCCAATTATCATTTCAATTATTGGTAAATTAACTTCGATCCAGACACCGAAAACCGACACACGTTTCAACTTTATTGAAACAAGGAGTTCAATTTTTTCATGTGCACTATTTTAAATATTATTATAATTATGGATTGTACAGTATACATGTGTGATGTGATATTTCTTTTTTCTGTTTTGCTTTTTATTTTAGAAACTCCTGTAATTTGTATTATGCGTCAAGCACGTCTATACATTGTTCTCACATATATGTACCTCCACAATATTGGTATATGTATCAGAGACGACTGCTTCGTTGGCCGAGTGGTCGCAAGTGCGACTGCCGGCCAAAGGGTCTTGGGTTCGATTCCCGGGTCGGGCAAAGTAATACTGGGTTTTTTTAAAAAAATCCTCAGTAGTAGCACGGTGTCTGGAATTGTGCCCGGTATATGGCAATAGGCTCACTCCCAATTACATGGGACTCATAACATAAATAGTGAAAAGTGGGTATTACATTGTACAGTGGCATTAAGTGTCATAATGTACACCTTTGCCTACATCTTCGGGGATAAAAGGCGTGATGTTATGTTATGTATCAGAGACGTTGTAAAACATTTTTTTAAAAGTGTAACGAATATATTTCCTTCCTCGTTTCTCCACTCGTTTCACACCTTCATTTTAGAACGAGCGCCTAGCTTCACTGACGAACAGACTAAAAGTCAATTTCAAAGTACCAAATTATGGTTTAATTGAAATAAAATCTTTTGAGTTTGAGTTTGAACGTGGGGTTGATGGGTTGGGATAATAAACCCTTCCCTTCATTGCTAATGATGCATAAGAAGTAACTTAGTAGAGGCTCCAGCCTCTATTGTACAAGAAAATAGGTCTAGGCATTATGGTGCATAGAATAACACTTACAGAAAATTGCAATCTTCGTTTAACTAAATCCAATGGATACGTGATCGACTTGGAAATGAAGCCAGCGGTGGAAGCTGCCAAACTGCTAGCCAGTACAATGTTTTGAGGTCTATGTTTGTTGCCCTTGCTGCACTCTTCGGGAGGGCAGACAGTGAAGAAACTAAGAATTAGAGGCTGCACGAAACTAAATACTGCAAATGAAATTCCAGATTGTGGTCCCATCTGAAAGAACAAAAACTGTTAAGGTGATTTAAACTCTAACGACGCTATTTTTTCAGTTAATGAAACCTGGGTTTTCTTTGCAGGGATAAAGAAATGTGAAATAACACCTCTGGGGTAAGTTTCAGTAGCTGAAGTACATATATAACAAGCAGGCAGAGCCGTTTTAGACTACGCTGGCGCCCCAAGGCACGCAGAATTCGGGGCGTCTTTGGATATTTGTATTTTTAAACCTTGCCCCACACTAGGATATAGTATATTGTGGTTGAATTTACAAACATACACATGACACCCAGAACCAACAACAATTTATGGAGCACAAAAAGATTTGCTCCGTGCGGGAATCGAATCCGATATACGCTGCGTGGCAGCCCGTTACCGCGCAACGTGTAGCGAAAGTCCGTCGTAGAGATTGTCGGTCCTATTGGGCCCCTGAGAATGGGGGCCCTGGGCACGGACCCCCGAGTACCTTTATGGTAAAAACGTTACTGCAAGCAGATATAACCGATCATAACGCTCCTTGGCAGATCAGTACGGCTTATTACTAT